TGGCAATATTTGCAACACTCCTGTATAACAAGTCATGACAAGTAAATTTGACAGCCGCCTGCTTTCCCGGAGCGGCGCAGGCGCAAGAGATGCGGCTAATCGTTCTAACGTTGCTATCACTTTCACTCATATCTAGGGTTGCCATAGTAACAGTAGATTTTATTATTTTGGTATGCTATATCGCTTTTTTGCTATGCGTAATGTAAATTCGTTTTGATGGATTGATCTTCATCACAATTGTGATATAGGTATTAGGTAGACACATAATGTTATTTAACCATCTAGTTTTCACTGTTGTTGCTGCCTATTCTAATATCCGTAGCCAAAATTCTAGATTGCCATTCATTCATTAGAATTTAGAAAGTAATATGATGTATATCCAATCATTATGATCTGTAATAGCAGAATTGTAATCACTTGACCCAATATTACATTTTAATGTCGATACGATTATTATAATTTAAATGCCGTAAGAACTAAGAAATGCTGTGCGTTTGAGCATGCCTATATCTATTCTGACAAAGATCACACAATTGGAATGATGATAAATGAAGATTAAAAATCTAATCAGTCCGTCAGTTAGGTAATGAAAAAATATTAGACACGTATCTTTTTACTTTGTCGTATAATAAAACAATACTTAGATAAAAAGAATCAAAGTTTAGGAGTGGCGGCTAAAACGTCATTTCTATGTATAAAATGTACATAGAAGTGACGTCACGCGACATTTCAAATCAATATTTCGTCGAAAGTATTCGTTTCTGTAAGAAAATAAAAATTACGTGTCTAATGATTTATTATATCTATTACATTAAAAGATCAGTTAATACCGCGTGAGAACCCTGAACATCGGACAGGCAAGTCCTCGTCGCTCTTGATTTGTGACTTACGAGGTAAGAAAGTTACGGGATTGATTTATTGTTTTATAACAACATCACATTCGAAATCTTTAAGTGGTTCACAGTTATTTACTGGCTTTGTCCACTTGTGAGTTGTGAGATGGTTTGTGGTTGTGGCTTTTCTATCTTGGTACGGAGTCTGGGAAGTGTTTTAACTTTTTCGCGTTTATTTTTCTATGGCATAAGCCGGTAAACTAGCAGACGGATCACCTGATGGTAAGCAATCGGCGTCGCCCATGGACACTTGGAACACCAGAGGCGTTACAAGTGCGTTAATTTCTTTGTTTTATAATTATTGTTCTTAAACATAGGGTTGTTAAACATGCTTATGGAAATTTAATAAACAGTGTGTATTAAAAAGACATTTTTGGGTTAATAGGTCACTTTGTCAGTGTGATTTTTTTCTCATAAGTCGCATCTACAGACACGAGTACTAACATTTTACACACACTTTAGAATATAGGAAGTGTCAGTTATTTGAATATATAATTTAACCCACTGCTTATAATAAAAGTATTTGTGAAACCAAATCCTTAAATACGTCGTTTAACACAAAATATACAACATTATACTCCTTAACAATAGTTCGACTGAATTGAACCTAATGCCTAAGGTTTAATGCCTTAAGAGATGTAAATCTAGCTCCGAACAATACACGAGCCGTTTAGCGGTCTGTAATCCAATGGAGAGTGCTGAGAAATGTCGTATTGTACTATCTGAGAATAATAGATACTGAAATGAGAAGTTATGTAATTCATATTAGAATTGAGGAAAACTGAAAAGAGATTATGTGATGAAAAGATTTTTATAGTATCACTAGATTTTGGTAAGTGCACTGAACTATCACTCAAGTTGAATATTTCTTTTTAGGTCCCTGACTGCTGTAACTTAAAATACTTGAAGCAAATACAGAATACAATAAATACGGTGGCCATCACTTCATATCATGTGTAATTGATTGTAAAACTGACGGTATTTTGGGGTCAATATGATTATGATAAAAGAACATTAGCGCATTAGCAGACTTATGACATTGATGATAGAATAAAAATCTTACCTATGACACTGTAGTGAAATTTTATGCTTATTGCTTTTATTGCTATCTATGACTCTTGAATATTCATAAGATTTAGGTCAACGGAACATCGCGCCATAAATTCTGTGTGAATCTTTTTCTTGTACATATATTATGATGTTATTAGTTCTATTTTACTATAGCTAACTTATCACCAACATCGACCCCATCACTAGATTATGTGCTGAACTTTTTAAGTATTTGACCCGCTCATAAAAATGAGATATTCAACAGGGAAAGAAGCCATGACCACTCAACAGTTGCTTTATATACTACTTGAACAGATTCAGATATTTTTGGAAAAGTGCAAGAATTAAGCTTACCTCTATAATTTTATGGTTTATTAGGTTTTTAGCTATGTATGACGTGTAATAGATCCAACAGGGAATAAACCTTGACCACTAGACCAACTGTCGCTGTGGATGCCTTCTGAACAGAGGCAGGTATTATAGAAAAGGAGCAAAGAATTGAGTACATAAAAGTTTTTAGTTAACACATTAAACGCCATGTGGGTCACCGGTGACTGCCTTATTGGCCGAGTGGTCGCAAGTGCGACTGGGGCAAGGGGTGTCGGGTTGAATTCTCTGGTCGGGCAAAGTAATACTGGGTTTTCAAAAAAATCTCAGTATTAGCACGGAGTCTGGAATTATGCGCAGTATATGGCAATAGCCTCACCCTCTATTACATGGGACTCGTAACATAAATAGTGAAAAGTGGGTGTTACATTGTACAGTGATATTAAGTGGCGTAATGTGCACCTCTGCCTATCCCTTCGGGGATGTTATGGGTCACCGGTGACCGACGTTAGCAGAGTATTTGCCTTCAACAGTTTTCTAATAGCAGTCAAAACCTTAAGAATGGTATGGAAACTCCATTCTTGTAGAATAGTTATTGAATCAAATTTTATTCAGTTAGTAAAAAGATTAGTCACGATATGCTTTGAAATTTCCAACCTGAATTATCCTGTAACTGTACTAGCCTTTCAACTGTAGAATGGCGGTAAATAATACTTTTTTTTATTCAGATAAGTTTGGAACACGACTTCTTTCATTCCTAATTTTAAAGTAACAACATTTAAAGGGATTTTAAACCTAAAGAGTATTTTATGGTTACGGTTAGTAATATTTAAACGCAGTAGTAGCTCGTTCTGGTCGTTTTTCTATAACATAACATTACGTCTTTTATCCCCGAAGGGGTAGACAGAGGTGTACATTATGCCACTGTACAATGTAACACCCAATTTTCACTATTAAATAGGGGGTGAGCCTATTGCCTATTGCCATATACCGGGCACAATTCCAGACTCCGTGCTACTACTGAGAATTTTTAAATAATACTTTGCCCGACCCGGGAATTGAACCCGAGACACCTTGCCCGACAGTCGCACTTGCGACCACTCGGCCAACGAGGCATATTTTATGATCATCATATAATATGCCTAAAAACATACTAAATACTGACTATGATGACCATAGAATCACACTGTCAGGTTCAAATGCAATATGATCCACGATACTACATATTTTGAATTGAAGCCATTGGAATAGACTGCACGGTTGGTACGGTGGCTGGGCGACCGGCTGCCACGGTACGCAAACTGGAGCAACTCTTTGTATGATCCACGAACTTTTGTTTCGGGTCTGGATGTGATGTGTATGTGAACTTGTATGTTTGTAAACGCACCCACGATACGGGAAAAAATCCTACTGTGCGGCAAATTTTTATAAAACAAAATAAAAATAATATGTACGTACTTATCATATAAAACAAAGTATGCTTAAGAAACCAGTTTTTAACTTTTCCAAATATAGATTTAGAAACTGAAAAAAGTTTGTAGCTATACAGATTGTACTTTGAATGCGAGTGAGATAAGTAAACTCGTTGTGTGGTCTTTGTTTGTGGGTCAGTCGATGTGAAACGTAGCGTGATTGAATTGTAACATATACATTTCGATTTATATTTTTCGAAAAATGCATTTTGATAGCAGGTTTTCTTTGTATTTTATTATTAGTTATTGGAAATTTAACAATGATCCCTTCAAAGGTCTTATGTAAAAAGACTTCTATACCCTGCCTTTACTTTTTGAGAATATATCGTTTTACGTAAATAGTAGTACCGTTTATTCAAATTAAAATAATAAAAGTCACACAGACACAGAATGACAGTTAACTACATATTATGCGCACGCGCCGATGCGCGCGTTGATGTCTTTTATACGCGTAACAAACTGAGAACACAATTATTTTTTAAAAGCTTCATTTTAATGTCTCTGCTCATTTTATGTGTAGTAAATAGTTTAGGAAAGGTCATAATTACCACTTATAAAAGTAATAACCATAAAAGGATAACTGTTCCTTCAGATTGAGCGAAAGATATAAACACACTACTTTCTGCATCGTAAAAATGCGTAAATGCTAATTATGAACCATTTCTGTGTAAGCTTTAGTTGTCAATAATTACTCAAACATTCACCACGTATACTGGCATAAGTGTGTTTTCGCAAAATGATAATTTAATTTAATAGAAACATGTGATTAATGGTCAACCCATTATAGCTTCGGTCACTATCTCAGCTTCGGTGTTAGCCATTCATTTTATTTATCTTATCTAAGCCCAGATATTTGTAGATTAATATCTATGGTTATTTTTCTTAAATAATTTGCTAGCATTAATAATAGAGGCAATATATTCAGACAACAGCAATGTTTAAAATTTGTTTGATAAAATGTATTAAGGTCAACTGTAACCGATAACGATTACTCTTTGAAAAAACCTTATTTATTACTTAAGCCGCTGACTTGATACAAACCGACTAGTGTACTGTGCGATTTATTACGTCGCTCCGCATAATCTGTGCGGTGTAATTATTTACACAAGATTAGTACCACTTTTACGTTTAGTTACAAGTCGTCCCTAATAAAAGTGCAACAATTTTACTTATGCGATTTCGAGTTGCGTTGCGTCTGATCATTTCTCCGGCAGTGGTCGGTGGGCCCTAGTCGCGCAGTCACTCAGTCGCGCCCGCGCAGCCACATCGCACGCACGCGTCGCCGCACTCCCGCGCAACACATCGCGAACACTCGTCGCGCATCAAGTGCTACCGTAAACTAAATACATCTGTGATAGTGACATGGTTTTGTGCTTTAATTGGATTCTGTGACGGTGATACGGACCGTAAGTATTTCATTCAACTTTTACTCAATATTATAAGATGCTGATTGATTCAGTTCAGTTCGTGCAACACACGTCATAAATAAAACTAAGCAACGAATTAGCACGCGACTCAGTACACACAAACCCAATTCATTGAATAGCAATTAATACGCGATCTGCGTTAGTGCGCTTCTGACTTCGTGCACGTATTTAAATTATTTAGAAATCCAAGTCGTCACTTGCAAAAAAATGCACGAAATCGTCGGAGCGTCGCGCGGCGCCGGCGACGCACACGATATGTGGCCAGCCACCACTCATCTGATCCGTATTTTAAGATGCTGCAGATATTTCTCAGTTATTTATTGGATAGAAAGAAAATTCAGTAGAAATTGCTAAGATGTGTATTGTGCAGTTTCGCCATTGTACTTATCGAGCGAAATTTCTATGCGGATATTTTTGATCAGCTGTTTTATTTTAGACTCACTTAACTTTTAGTACAGAACAGTTTAAAAAATGAACCCAAACTTAATATTTATATGCCATAATATTTTAAGCAATAACCGAAAAGATTAAAAAAGTAGGCCAATATCACTGAAACATAAATATGAGAAAAGATTTTTTGGCAAAAAACTTCAATAAAATTCAACTCGGTGTAAACGCGTCAATCTCGTCCCATCTTATTTGGACCATAATTTCAGTTCCAACTTTAACAATAAAAATCTACTGAAGCTGTCGCCGGACGAAAGTTTTTATAGTTTTACAACAGAGAATGAAATTAAACAGTAGCTTTTGAAATTTTACTACTCTTTACAGAACTGTAACGTCATGAAAAAGTATACTGTATTGTATAGCGGGTATGGTACATTTTTCAATGAAAGCTTAAGTCCATGCCTTTTATGAACGTCTGTAACTCTCACATATGTTTTTCTTCCAACTGAACTAGATTGTGTTACCAATACCAAGTGTGATTGAAATCGCACTACATTGATCTATATTTTAAAACCACACTTTATTGAAAATACGACTGTAATAATAAGTGGTAGAACTTAAAATTGAAGTTGAAAAGAATTGATACTTACGACTTTTTAATTTATTTGCGTGTTTAGAATATTCATCGAATAATAGTTTTTGTTTTAATTATATGAATTTATAAAACACGCATTTCACATATCGTGCATAGAATAATTTTCACGCAGATATTAGTTTTTTGGGTTTTATATTTAGATATAAAATAAAAACAATACTAATTTATTAATCCAAATAATTTAAGGCCGGTAACGCACCTGTAACGCTTGTGCTGTTCCAGGTGTCCAAGGGTGACGCCGATTGCTTACCATCAGGTGATCCGTCTGCTCGTATACCGGCTTATCCCATAAAAAAAGATAAATGTGCATGTATTGTTTGAAGTAGAGGTATTTTCATGGATTTCTCGTGAAAACATAAAGTTGCGTTTGATTTTCTCATAAAAGAAGGATTTTTCTTTCTTTTACATCTTCATTATCTTTAGTAAGAAAGTGTATTGTCTTGTATTTCATGCTTCAACGTAGCAGACTTAAAGTATGATTTTTGTATTTTTGAAAATGGTGGCTGGAAAGTCAAACAGTCTATTTTTTGATCATAGTAAACCTGTTTAGCTTATTTAGGTTATATTTTATGTATGTTACATAGCATAACATAACATCACGTCTTTTATCCCCGAAGGGGTAGGCAGAGGTGCACATTATGGCACTTAATGCCACTGTACAATGTAACACCCACTTTTCACTATTTATGTTATGAGTCCCATGTAATAGGGGGTGAGCCTATTGCCATTTTGCCATATACCGGGCACATTTCCAGACTCCGTGCTACTACTGAGGTTTTTACAAACCCAGTAATACTTTGCCCGACCCGGGAATCGAACCCGAGACCCCTTTCCCGGCAGTCGCACTTGCGACCACTCGACCAATGAGGCAGTCATGTATGTTCTGGTAATGTTATATTTAATCTCTGTTATGTATCAACGCAAAATAGGAAATTCTTATTTCTTTGTTTAACTCGCTGAATTTTGTTAATTTCTAATCTAATTATAGCACTTATAGATATTTTTTTAACTAACTAAAAATCGCGGGTTACTCACGTGAATATACTGAGAAAAGCTCTACTGACTTCAGTAGGCTGCGCGACATCGCCGCGACCGCGCACTCTGCTCATGAGGAAGAACCCCTCTGTGGTTCGAAATTAGTAGAGCTTTTCTTAGAATACTCACGTGAGTAACCCGCGATTTTTAGTTAATTTAGTATGTCTCACGATAGTTATTATAAAAAGATATTTTTTTATTTGTGCCAACAGTACTAAATGTTTTAAGACATATTATGTGATAACGCGTCTAGGCATGAAACTAACTACCACAACTAGTCTGTTAACCGGTCGATGGCACAAAAGGGACTACAGTCCCTTTGCGCATTCTAAAAAGGGACTCTAATCCCTTTTTGCGCCAGTCCCTTTTTTTAAAACCCGTAGAATGCGCAATTCGCCGCCAATCAACCGGTTAACTCAATCGATGAACTTAAACTTAGTTACCGATCAAGCTGCTGACGACAAATAAACACGTCAAACTTCAACCAAGTGGCGACTTGGGAATTAACAGGCTCAAGTTTGTATTGTTGTATGAGAACGTGGTAGATATATCCGTATGTGTAGGAGCCTTAGGTATGTTCAGCAGTGGAAGTTATATGTTCGACATGACACGATGATAATGTCCCTAGTTCTTATATAGAGATGTCAATGCTAATTACGATTTTTATTCTGTCCGAATAAGACTGCCTCATTGTCCGAGTGGTTGCAAGTGCGATTGCAGGGCAAGGAGTCTCGGTTTCGATTCCCGAGTCCGACAGCAAAGTATTACTGGGTTTTTAAAAAATCTCAGTAGTAGCACGGAGTCTGGAAATGTGCCCGGTATATGGTAATAGCCTCACCCTCTAGTACATGGGACTCATAACAATAATAGTGAAAAATAGGTGTTACATTGGACAGTGGCATAAGTGCCGTAGGCAATGTGCACGTCTGCCTACCCCTTCGGGGATAAAGGCGTGATGTTATCACGTTATTTAAGTTCTAGTTGCAGTATATTACGATATATCTATCCATCCATATAATAAAATTGTAGGAATGTGCAAAATGTACATTGATTATTTTTTAAAAGAAATTTTGTGATATGATCTACAAACGACATTAAAGCTAAAAATATGGCCTAAAGAATGTTTGTCTGTTTGTCTGTATGTATGTCCGGGCTAAACTCAAAAAGTACTACATGGATTTACTTCAAATTTTGCATGAATATTACTAACACATCGGGTTAACGTATAGACTAAATATTATCACGCTATCGTCTACGGGAGAGGAACTATGGATCACTAATCCACACGAAGGAAGTCGTGGGCAGTGGCTAGTTACAAATAAAAAAAAATTGTAAAACAAGTGGCAAGAGTTATTTCGAGAAAAGAATATAAACAGAGGCAGAGAGGCTCTAACCTTTTGGTTCAGGAGAAGGAACGGGGTGGTTTTTAGTCAGTAAGCGTCTGACACTCCCTCCCGCCTCACCCAGGCGGGAGCAGACATTCGATGATTTTCCCCCCTTAAAAAAAAAAAAAAACCTTCTGGTTAGAAACATACTTGTTATTACTCTGGTGGTGCGGGTGTGACAGGGAACCCGCAATTTGCAACTTACGATAGTTCAGCTACTGCATCACCCGAACAAACCGAAGAATCACTTAAAATAATTACTGAGGAACTCTTTGAATCGAATTAGCACTAAGTGGTATCCGAAAATGTACACAAAGTGGGGGTCATTAACCTCTGAACCTGTGCCTAGATGTGGTACAAATAGGTTTACTAAACGATCGCATTATTTCGTCGTGAGAACTGAGAACTGACGGTTACGTTGAACCCGGTAATGGGGAGAATATGTTGGTGATGCATTTGGCAATTTTGTAAAGAACAGGATATAGACAGAAGTTAGTGCTAGAAGCTTGTGTCCATTGTGTAATACAGAATTGTTTTTTTTTTTTATAAAATTCGGTAGAGGTGTACTGTCACTTCTATTTGGGTACATTTTAAGTAAATCTATGTATAAAAGTTAAAAATACATATGAGTACTTTGAAAATTTTATCATTTTCTTTAAAAAAAAAATTTTTTTTTAAAAAAAAAAAAAACAAATTTCTTTAATTTGTATTTTTTTTCTCTTCTTTTTTTGTTTTCTACTTTTGCTTTTACATTATTGTATACCCACCACCCATACTCAGATTCCCTTTTCCCCCATAAAGATGAGTTTGCTATGATCACCACGCTAAACCAATATACAAAATGTGGTTAACCATATTGACACAATAAAACTATTGAGAAAAATCCGTCCAAAATTCACATTTAAGGACGAGTAAATAGCGAGCTATAATTAATCATTAGTACGTGGTTTTCCCCGCCATTACGTTCAATATTGCTTGCATGCAAAAGCACACATCATTATTATTAAGTTATTTTCTCATATCCGTGCGGATAACAAAATAACGTCGGGTGTAGTGTTGTTGAAGGATATCCGTTTTATCTAGTGAATATAAACATTAATACTACGTTTGTTATATATATCGAAACAATTTTTCCATTGGCCTAAGAATGACTGGTGAACGAGACAACCTAAGTTCTATTGTCAGATCGGGATTTAAAATAGTTAAAATAAACATATTTGGTGATTATTATGATAACGAACGAAGTCAAACACAGGGTGCAAACATTTAAGGTCTTTATAACATTGATACCACATTTTTTATGGCATAGGTAAGCCGGTAAACGAGCAGACGAATCACCTGGTATGCTATAGGCGTCACTTATAGGTCCCCAGAATACCAGAGGCGTTAAATGTGCGTTACTGGCTTTTTGGGGATTAAAAATTTGAAGATTCTAATATCTCGGGCTAATGGACCTCCGGTAACCTCGTCCGCACGACGAAACGCAACGCAAGCGTTCTTTCACGTCGGTTCTCTAT